ATTAAATATATATATATATATATAATACGGAAATTAAGAATATAAAAAAATGTAACGTATGACAGTTAAATCGGACTTTTTTTGAAAAGTTTGATCTTTGTGATCTTCTAAAACTGGAGAAACTTACGTTTACCAATAAAAAATCAAAAATAAGTGACTGGAAAGGGAATTTTGACACACTAGAATGCTTATATGTATAAATCGATAATGTTCTATCAGGTAATTATTTAAAACCATGACAATAGATTTCTTTGCTTTGTGTTCTTTTGTAACACAAGAGAAGAGGTAGTACTGGGATGATAAAAGAATAATAAAAAAAAATAACCTAATGGAATTTTAAATATTGTAAAAAAAAATTGTCCTACATACTACTTATATGCAATATGTATTTAAACTAGTGTGACACAATTTTGACTAGGATTTATTCTTTCTGAAATATGAATACAAAAACTGAGTTGATATAGGTACCTTTTTTAATTCTAAAAAGTTTATTTAAAATTCAGCTGTGGTGTATTTAGGACTATTTTTTTATGTAAGAAAGAGTATTAAGGTTTTCTATTAAATATTAAATCTGTTATTATCCGCCATAGTAACTAATAAAATTAAATAGAAACCATAAAAATGGGCACCATATACCTAATGTAGGCAGTAGCGGTATTAGTATTTCATACCAATTATATTTCTTTCAAATATTCATAACTACTTGCAGTTAAAATGTAGAAGAAAATTGATTTCATCCTGTCACATATCAATTCCACTTTACAATGTACAATTGTTTTGGAAAGGTGAATGAAAGTTTCACAATATGTAGAAAATTAACATTAGTATAACATTTCTGCTGCTCTTGTTTCAAGATATTTAAGTTAATCGGACATTTATCGGTTTTCTGTTTTTAATTAGGCAACGTTAACTAGGCCATTTGCTCGAAGATATGAAACCCAACCTGTAACTGGTTTCACATTCTTCGATCCCTATATGCCCATTAAGGTAGATACTCACATTTGCTGCTCTGTTTATTAAAACTTGTCGTGGAGTAGTCTAATAATGCATAATAATTTGTGTGATTTTTATAACAATTGACAATAATTGAAATACTTCATATCTAGATAGATCCCAGAAGATCGTATTTTTGATAAAAAATTGAAGGTTCAGCCTAATTCAGATCTAATTTCGTCTATCAGTTTTACCCGTACCATTATTTTGAAATAAGTAATGTGGCAAGTATAAGATTATTAAAAAACGGAGACGTCGTAAATTACACATGGAAAATTTTCAATAAATGTGAAGTGAAGTGTATATTTATTTATTTATTTCAATAAAAAATTACTCAACACATATGTATATACTTCAAGTTTTGGGTTTACTGGAATTTAACCTAAGAAGTATAGTGTAAAACTTGGTTGGAAGATGAAACTTTAAAGCTCAATGTGTTTGAAAAATCATTAGTTGGACTAAAAATTATCTTGTTACAATATAGGCCCACTTTTATAGGCTCATATCTATAACACCGGGTTACGACATTGCGTCGTCATCAGAGATGTGCAAAATGGTTTTTTGAAAGTATTAATATACAAAATGCAAATACTTTTCTGATTTGTTATTTCAAGGTAGATTTCCCTTTTATATTTTATATATTAAATGCAAAATATGTATTTTCAAAATACCTTTTTCAAATAAATAATTTTTTGTAGTACCTATTTAATTTTCTACATGTACATGGACATGAAATATTTTTTAAGAAAACCTTGCAAGCATTTGCTAATTTTTTAAATATTTGAGATTTTCTAGACTAATAGTGGTGTTTGCACTATATCATTAGCTGCGAAGATTAAGTATGATTCACATTTTTCTGTTTGAAGTGATTGAGATATAATTTCTCTATCTTTATGTTATAGTTTTTTCAGTACAGCAACAGATAGTTCTTCTATATGTTCCCTTATTTGCCTTTGTCACCCGTTATAATTGGAAAAAAGACACTGATAACAAAATATTTTGTTTACCATAAAACATTAGAACCAAATTAGGATTGCAAATAATTTTATTGATGTAAAATCAACATTAACCATTTTATATCAAAATATTTACAACCCCATTTTTTTTCTCATCTTTTACTCACTGTAATAAGAGAAAGAAATGGAATCTATAGTTTCCTTAGCTTTGGGTTCATCTAATAAGTGAAGTTTTTCGAATCGTTTTCTAAGAATTTTGGATCATACGCATTTATTAACATACCAAATTATGTTTGCAGTTTTCAGTTTTACGCAACTGGCGCATATCAATTCGATATTGTTTGTGGGCTGTTTTGTCGTAATTCATAGAATTTTGTAGTTCCTTGCTAAAGGTACGATAAGTGGTGATTTGGCAGGTGCTTATGTAAGTTTGGAACTTCAAGATTCCATAGACCATGACATTGAACCCCGAAACCATTATCGATCCAATATTTTAGAATATTCCTTTCCAAGGAGTTTAGAATTTTGGACTTTCTTCAGTTAAAGAATTAGATAGCATTCGTGAAATGTCTCTTTGTCCTCTTTTTAAGGTGTTATTGCCTTCAATGGTCGATTTGAGAAAATTTCATTTTTCATTTTATATAATGTTTGATAGGTGATACTAGCAAAACTTTTAACGGCAAAAGTGTGTTTTGCATTTTACAAAAAGGAAATACGTTTGGAAAAGTACTTTAAATAAAATACAAAATGCGTTTCTCAAAAAAGTATCTAATTGCAAAATAAAAGTATTTTTTATTTTGTATTTGCATTTTAAATGCAAGTATTTCAAATAAATCACATCTCTGGATGCCATCTACTGATTTTTGCTGGTAACTGATGTCCATCAAATGCTAGACGAAGGTCTTACTAAGGTATCTGCTCGTCTAACTGAATAGAAAGCGTAACTTATATTTGTAAAAGGCTCGCGATATAAACTGCTTAGTCAATGTCTAACCTCTAACACATGAAATACTTCAGTTAGTAACAAATATCAGTAGATGGCGACATACTGACATAATTCGATAATTGGACCAATATGCTGGTATGAGGCATCTTCAGTTTGATCGGCGATATATCGAAATTAATTGTGGCGTGCTGATGAAATCAAATAAGGTCGAAATTTCATTTACGTCTGGTAGTTTTGATAAATTACTGACCATGAACTTAATCCGTATCTATCATGTTTTATTTCCTTATTAATGAATAAAAAATGCTCTTTGCAATTATTTTCGTTGAGCATTAGGCAAAGTGTTAAGAACAAAACCTCAATTTATGTTTATGAATATAGTTTAGCAAAAATATTTGTTTTTAATTCAACTATTTCATAACTACATAATTAACTAGCAGCAGAGTTAGACCGGACATTTGGTACAGATCACAATTTTAGAACGGGATATTCATTTGTTCATTAAAAAATATTGTGATATAGCTGTTCGTAGTAAATTATTCATAGCTTGTTTTGTAGCAACTATTATTATTATTATTAGAACCTACTTAAAATTTAATTGCCGATATGAACTTAGTAAAAATACAGTATGGAGAAAGCTCATCAACATATCATATCTATGAAAAGTTTCAAATCTAATTGTAAAAAACACTTTAATTCCTCACATCATGTATTTCATGGTCATAGTAGTTATCCAACCACTCATGACAATATTGATATGATTTATACAGTATTCCCGAAATATACGAAGTTAGTTTGTACTTGTGCTTTTCTTAAAGAATGTTTTAAACCAGGGTGACCAACCCGCGATCGCGGGTCACATGCGACCCTCCTTGTACATTTTTGTGGCACGCGAGATTCATTATAAATTTACAAAGTATATTTATTTTATAATGATCGCTGACAGATAGCAGTTTGTATTTATATAACATTTCAAAATATAAAATATAAGCATCCGCAAGAATTATTAAAGATTATTTATAGAAAAATAACTCACCAACTATAAGTTCTCTTGCTTCGAGTTCAGTAGACGGAAATTTAATTCTGATCTCATGGTTCATAAAGTACCGTAGGACTCTTTCGAACACTCCTTCTTGGGATTTTGGAGTAAGTTGAACCTCGTTCGTTTTCTCCAGAACAACAAAATCTTGAAGAAACGAGACCGTCGGTTTGCTGTCATATTCGTCAATGGTTTTAATAATTGCTTGTTCTGCACAATCGAAGTTGCCTTCGCATCCATTTAGGGTTTCATCCAGAAAGTCAGCTTTGATGAATGACACACAAAGGAAAAACCACAAAAATTTCTTGTACATTTTATGCAAGTGCGTTTATTATATCGAAACGACCAAACTGGTGTTGCGGTTTTTATGGATGAGCCATCATCTTTGTATTGTTGTTACTTTATATTTGCGGAAATGTATGCAAGTGGGGGCGATTTCGATTCGTAAATTAACACGGCCAACATTCTGTGTTAAACGTGATTTTTTTGTCAATCTATTCCTTTAGGCCTACTGCATATGTCTGTGACGCGGATCTTAATTGCTGTTTAAAGAGAACATCAAATTGCTGTTTTGAATTTTAACGAAGTACACAGGTATTGGGTATAGCAAACCAGTGAAATTAAAAATGCACTTTTCTATCTCGAACCACTCCCAATATGCAGCACTGAACAACAATTTTTCTGGTCAGGTAAAAGATAACATCATAAAAATACTGAGACACCGAGCTAGTTCTAATTTTTTTTTATAAATTTAGGGCGTTAATGAAATTCAATTGAAGGATACAGATTCATTGGGGGTTGGAGTGGTGCCAACGTTTAACAGACATTACAACCTACTTCATCAGGACAAAACGATTGAAATATATGAAGAAAAAACTGTAATGTCTGCGAAACATTGGCACTTTTCCAGCCCGCAACCCGGTTCCAATTGATTCCGGTCTGGCGGATTTGGGTTTGACTGCGTTCCTTAGGTCTCATCCGATGCAGAACCTGCTTTACTTAATAAGTAGTAGTGATTATTATAATAAGACATCGAATTACGATAAAAGAATTCGGCAATTATTGCTCAATATTACAGATGAACATTACGATTGCTGATCGTTTTCAGAGGAATTTATTGAACTTGCTGTCATAAACTTGGGTGTTTCAGGAATTTTCTGTAGCAAATTATTCATTTTCATGGACTCTTGTTTCTTTTTTCACTAAATTCAACTCCGTTGAGGTTGTTCTGATATTACCTTATGTTGGACAATAATATTCGTTGGTAGATAAGAGGAAACACAAAGATGATTTCACAAAATTTATTGCCCGACAATATTGTTTCGGCCGACATAGATGGTATAAATGTTAACTAGATTGCTAAACATATTCAAACATAAATAAATTACATCCTATCTATTCTGGAATGTACTGAAGGTAGAGGAGAAGGTAATCATATATAGGTAATTAGAGTTTATGTAGGATAAGTGGAGAATTGGAAGTATATAATACATATTTTATGGATAATATAAAAATGCATTTATCAAAAATTTTCTTTATAATTATTTTTGCAATTCTTCAGTTAATTGTTTTCACCTATTTTTGAACACATCTATTCACGCACGCATAAGACTATGACAAAAAAAAACTAGAGGAAGATTTTAACATATATGTTGTATAGGTATAGGGGAAGTCAGATCTCCAAATAATCAAATATTTCACGCTTATATAATTTTGGTATCCCTGAAATTTTTGAGTTCCTAAAATTTTGCCTATCTGGGCCCAAATCTAACGGGCCTAATGCTTAAATCTAATATAGGGTTTATGTAAAGTATGAAATACTTTTGCAAACTTGCCTGCCAATTTTGATTTTTCCTAAAAACACGAGCTCTAATAACTACAGCAAAACCTTCTTACAAATAAAACAAAAATATAATCGAAACCGACAGCCAAATTTCCCAGCATAGTACAAAGACCTTTACGATAACAACAAAATATATTATACGATGGTCTTTCAAACTCTACAGAACACAAAAACTCTAGCCCAGGCCCAGACGGTATATAAAATATTCTCTTCATGAAACTTCTCCCAGAATGAATTCGATATCTTACTGACCTCTTCAATGTCAGACAAAATTAAATCTTCATCAGGAAGTTATAGATAAATTGCTCTAACAAACACTATGGTTATATTGAAAAATACTAATCAAAAGGCTTATCGAATCAAATAAACTCTTCTCCATAAGGCAGATCAACCTATGACCATCAGCAGCCCTCACTGTAGATACTATACCTATGAATATGAATTAATAAGATGGTACATTGAACAATTTGCTATTGAAATTATTGCTTCTGCTACTTCCAACTATGAAATTCTGTACTTTCCTTTATCCTTTTAATTATTTTATTTGCTAATACTTTTAATGTTTATGCAAGAACAATTGTAGTGCAAAGTACATTCCTCGATTTCAATTAAATGTAATTTTAAAATTTACATGTAGATTTAAAATTATAATTAATTGCAATTATAATTTTAATCAACCAAGAGCAAGGTTGACTTGTTTTTCCCTAATTTAAAACTAAACAAAAACCCTTAATAAAACTCCAAACTTGAAGTGAAACGATGTCCTTGTATTTTACTAATAAATCGAAGAATATTTACCGGAAAAAAAAACAGTTTTCTTCATTTACATGTAGATACTTGTGATGCTGTGAAAAAAAACTTACTAAACTGTAGTTGTTATGATTGAAAATCTTAGCTTATTAAATTAATACAAAAACATGATAACTATTAAACAATTTTGTAAATCTCGGTGTCCAATAGATAATATTATATTTTTATAATAATTAAATCAATAGAAGGTAGAACAAAAGAGGGAGGAAATATTAAATCATCGTAGGGTATTAAGTACTACTATTCAAATGTAATTTTACTTTTAATTTTTGTCGAAAATCGCTATTTATAAGTTACTGTTATTAAAATTGCATTTTTATCATAAATGCAATACTTTTGCGATTACATTTCTGTAAATCTCATTCTTCTGCTTTTTGGTATTTATCGACGCCTAAATAAACAAATCCTTTCACTTTTTAATGGCTTTGTTGCGTGTTGTGTAGTAAAAAACTGTTGAAAGTGAATCGCTCTCCTTGTGAAGGTTAGATATACATACATACTTATATTAGATTTATCTCTAACTGACGTGGTAAAAAAAGTTATCGGTCTGGACCATTAGGCAGAAAGACCTGCGAAAAGTTAGGATTGAACACATTTTATAAGTTGGTTGTATGTGAACGAATAATGTCTGATATTTTTGATGCGGGATGCGCTAATAATAATGACGCAAATATCGAATAACGAATGCTCCTAGTTTACAGACTGAAGTAATGTTATCGTAATTGTTGGACGTGATTAAAAGTAAAGGGACGAATTAGAACTGTTTTAAAAAACTGTGCTTTTTATTCGTGAATTTGTGAACTTACAGTGTGAAGAAGGTGGCCTATAACCGTGATGACGATAAGGAGAATTGTCAGGGAAATGAGGTAGGAATTTTTAATAGTTTAATAAACGTCTATAACGATTAGCAAATTGACAAAGGTAAAATCAGGGCAGAAATCACAAGGATGTTATTTGCAGGGTTTGTAATAATCGGATTTTGCCCTTTATTATAATAATTTTTCAAGTTTCAACACGTATCTAATTATGATAAAATTTAAAAATATTAAAATCTGTTTTACTTCCTTTAATAATTTTATTTAGTCATTTTTAAATATCTATATAAGAAGTAATCAAAAGAAATATCCACAAATTACACTGTAATACATTACGTTAATTAGTACTGACTCTTTTTGTATTTATTTTAATGCTTAATACTTTGAAATTAAGTTTAGTTTCCCATGTCAAAAAATTAAGTACGAGTATTTGATGACATTTCCTTCATTTCGTTTTTTTTAATTGATGAATTTTAATTTATTCTAAAAAGGATTATTGCATTGATTATAAAAAGTCAGTTAGTCTTGCTATTATACGTTCATACGTTTTTGCAACAATTTTATTATTTCAGTTCATGAATATATTTTTAACACGCTTTTATTATTTATCCCCGGTATTCTCAGTTTTCACTGGTTAACTTTGAGCAAGTGGAGACGCGCTAATACCAAATAACGTCGCTCACATCTTTTGGGATACCATATGAAAACCAATTTTCTGTTCTTAAATTTTATAGAGTAACATCTATTAGGTAGGTTGTTTTAGTTTTTTTGATGGTCAGTGTGATGTCAGGTCTGTTATGATTAACAATTTTGTTTGTAATTATGACTGTATCCCAATAAAACTTGACTAAGTGGTTTTCTAATACATTTTGTGGTTTGTATTTATAGTACGACTCTATCTGATCTATAAGTTTAAAGTTTTTGGCTAACAGCGAATGTATCTGTTTGGCAACATTATTATGCCTGTCGGTGTATTGCTAGCTAAAAATAAGCAACCCCCAGTGATGTGGTCAATTGTTTTGCATGATGCAAGATGCTTGGCATGTGCCAGATGAAATTGTGGGATTTTTAATAATATACGAGGGTGGATTGATAAGTTTCCGGCCTAACCAAGAGATGACGCCACTAGGCCTACCTTGAGGTGACATTCTATAGTACCATCCTTGGATAGCTTGTAGCTATAGTTTCAGCCCGATCTCCTTGCTAG